GGTGAGCATGTGTTCAAGTCAAAAGAATCATATCTCATGCTCAGGTCCCACATTCCATGGAAATCTGATCCTTCCTCTTCAACTTGTGCGGGTACTACGGTCAGGTATTCCTTCAAGAATAATGGGACTTTGTTCATCTCACCTTTTCAGATCATTGGAAGCTTGGAATAACTGTGGCCTTTCACGAAAAGTATTCAGTGTCACAGCCGTTACACACCACTGTAGTTGATGGTCCATCTGCAAGTGAGTGGTGATCCCCCTGGCTCCGAATGATCGGATACTATCCTATGTGTATGTAGTTGTTGTCGAGTGCCTGATTGTCACTCAGATATCCTATTTCTCTACAACTTTAACTTCCCTTTGCTGATTCTCACACTCAACTTTTCAACAAGATGCCATTCTCGTTGATCGAAACCCTCAGAAAACGTGAGTTTACAATCAAGTGGATCATATAAACTCTTCAAAACCCAAAGTTTAATCATCATTCATGTCTCAACATAGGCTATCTTGACACCATCCAGTCCGTCAAGCCAACCAATGGACGATGGAAGATCTTGGTAGTCGACAAACACTCAAAGAATCTGATTGAAGGCGTTTTGAAAACCTTTGAGATCCTCGAACTTGGAGTCCAACGTACCTCTTCTCACTTCATCTGCCTCAAGATCTCAGTTTGGGCTTACTTTGATTCGTTCAAACTTCAATCATCTCAGAAATCGACTCAATCGAAACTCCTAGACAACCTTCCCCTAACCTTGAAGCCATCTATATTCTTGCACCTACGGCTAAGAACGTGGATAGGATAATTGCCGACTTTGCCCCTGGTCAACCTGCAAGTCGAAAAGGACCTCCAGTACCATCCGGTGGTCCTAAGTACGCTGGAGCGCATCTCTTCTTCATAGATGGTGAGTTTCAAAGGTTCTGGGCTTCGCATATATCACAAACGCTGTGGTTTGTGTTGATTATCTTGGTCGAACTTGAAATCAGCACTCGATGATGCGTTGGTCAATGTCTTGACTTCATCTCCTGCGGCTAGTTATCTTCGACAGTTAGTTGAACTCTTTACTAACATCTGGCCAGAAGAACCGCAAGTCTACACACTTCGCCCACCCAACCCTCGTAGCTTGCTCACTCTCTACGGTCCACCTGAACGTTCAATACAAGATGCAATAGCAAATTGGGAGGATGAACTGAGTTGGATCAGCAAATCCGTGATTACATGCTGTCCTCAATTTCCCTCAACCTGCACCCCTGCTGATTCACTTGTAGCTCATTTCTTTTCCCCCCCAATAGCTCGTCAATCTTCTTGCAACACTTGGAGAGAAACCTTATATTCGTTACTATAATCCATCTACTACGCCTCTCGGTCCTGCAGCTGCCGCAAAAGAACATCTTTGTAAAAGGCTAGCTTCTTTCTTGAAAAAAGATTTGGATGATTACTGTGATACAAATGAAGATTTTCCGGCAAGCTTCCTAATCTTATTCATCTGGATTCGAGAGGATGTTGGACCAAAAATGCTGATATCTTATCCTTTATAGCCTCTTGTAGATCCTCCGAGACCCCGTGGGACAATGTTTATCACCGAGAGAGCTATGGATCTTCAAGCACCCTTGCTACATGAGTTTACTTATCAAGCAATGTGTAATGACCTGCTAGATATCAAAGACAACAAATACATGTAAACGTTGTTCATTACCCTCAATTCTAACAAAGACTGTGATGCTCAACTGAAATTGGTTTGTTTGAGTGAAGATATTCGTTTAAAGATCAATCCGGTGAACAGGAAGAGAAAGAAGTGACCCTTGCCGAAGATGATAAGGTTTGGGTAGAAGTACGACATATGCATATGAAAGATGCACTTGACAAATTGATTCACGATTTCAAGGCGTATGCTACTGAACATGGTCATCTTACCAATGGTAGTAGTCTCAATGATATGAAGGATATGTTGGCTAGTCTACCTCACCTCAAAGAAAGTAAAGAAAAGGTGATGATCGTTCTTTTTGATATGACGCTGCTAGACTTGACTGATCATGATTGGTTTACTTTTTATAGCTTTCATTGCATCTTAGCATGGCTGAAACTTGTATGGAATTATTTGAGAAGAAACAGTTACCTTTAGCTGCTTCGGTAGAGCAATGTTGTTCAACTGGAATGACAGCTGAAGGAAAAACGCCGAAATCGATTGTTGAAGAGATGGTACCGTTGCTAGATGATCGCGCTGTTAGGTCCGTATTGTCACTTTTTTGAAACGTCAGTAAGTATAAGTATATGTAGGATCTCACTCCAAACTTATCCCAATCAACTTTTCCACGATAGTACTACCGATAAGCTTCGAATCATTGCATTGTATGTGTTATATCGAGATGGAGTACCTGATGAAGATAGGCGTAGATTATATCAACATGCTAAATTAGGATTGAATGAGATGGACGCAGTGAACAATTTGATACATCTAGGTGCCAATGTTGCGAAAGATTCGGGGAAGAAACGAAAACAATTGTTCAAACAACCTTTAGACGAGAATGATTACGATATATCTAGGTATCGACCTCTAGTGAAATTGATGCTTGAGGTAGCGTTTCTTGAACGTAGAGATTCCGATCTCATCAGAGCTTTTGCTGACATGACTTGTGCTTTGTGGATTTCTTGATTTCACAGGATGCGGTTGCGAACAAACTAGATCAAACTGTATTCCCATATATGGGAGAAACTCCATCGACTGCTGCTAAATCAAATGGAAGTGGTTTAGCAGCCAATTCAACAGCTGCACCTACTTCATTACGTAGCGCCAAACCCAGTTGGCAAAAACCGAAGTCTAAGGCTGTGGTTGAGAATCGCCAACGGATGATTGTCTTTGTTGCAGGCGGGATCACACATTCTGAAATTAGATCAGCCTATTCTGTCTCGGAGGCTCATTCGAAAGATGTCATCATAGGTCAGGGCTTCTTTCCAGACCGATTTATATATATTCACTTGAAACTGATCAATCGAGGATGGGTTCGTGTTGTCGGACGTGTTTAGGCTCAACATCAATTTATACTCCCAAAGCCTTCATTCAAGACCTTTCACGTCTCGATCGAGGTGGATCAAGTGGTTCGAATCAACCTCCACCTTCATTAGCCTATGAAGGAAAACAAGCTAGATTACCCAAGCGAGCGCCAGACCCACGTCAACGTGATGATCGATATGCATATGAACCACCCGATTCAGTCGGAGCAGCTCTACCACCTCGTTCTGCACCTACTTATCCAAGTCATCGACCGATCCCTTCAGTTAATAATTCCACCACTTCACATTCTCAAGCTGTTCTCATGCCACCTTCAATCGATCCTAGACTTCAAACACCGATTCCTTCACCTGCATTATCTTCTTATAGTAAACCGGAAAAAGAAAAGAAAAAAGGATTTTTCAGTAGAAGTAAGAAATAAGGCACTCATGTGTTTTTTTTTCTTAAGAGGTTTGAGTATTACTTTTGGTTTTTGGTTATGAATGATATGAATTTGGTTTTGGTTTGGGTTTGTTTCGTTTGGTTTTGTAAAACGGAGAAATGTGTAATATTTTTAGAAAAAGGTTTCTTTTTTTTTAGTTCTTACTTATGATCTTATTTTTTTTCGTTTCTTTCTCTTTTTTTTTGAATTTTTTTTTCATGATTAATGATTATGATACATACAAAAAAAATCTTGATTGATGTGTATGTGTGTGTGAGTGTGAGTGTGAGTGTGAGTGATTTGAAAGTGTAATTTTGTTTTTTTTACATTGATAATATTATTTTGAGATGAGGGGAAGTTGATGAAAAGAAGTACAAAAAGAGAAGAACAAGAAATTGGAATGAATGACAATTTTGTTTTTGGCTTTGAAGATTGATGATGAAAATTATTGAGGAAATGGATAAGAAGAGAAGAAGAATGAGTTGATCAGTTTGATGAAGATTGATTGAAAGAAAGGTTAGATGATTTTGAATAAAGAAGTAAGAGAAGAATGAGAAGGGGTTTGGGTTGATTTGAAAATTTGACTTTGGATGATGATTTGATGATTTAATGAAAGTCAATCGAACCCCATCATTCTATGTGATTTAACTTTTAAAACAATTGTTGATTTTGATGATATGAAGAATACCTTGTGGGGTCTATTAATCTTTGATTTCGACCACATACCACAGTGAAGGAGAAGAAGTCGAGTATGCAAGTTTAGATAATTTCTCAGCTTTTCAAGTTAAGATAAGATATGATCAATTGGAGTTCAGTTCAGAGATAAAGGTGTGATTCGAAATTGATTTATAAAATGAAATCATATATCAGAGTGAATGCTGAAAGTGAATTTTTGATTTCAGCATTGAAGTTGATTTACAAATCTCCATTTGATCAACATCACAGAATTTTCAAATTATCTAAAGACTTTCACTCAGTTTGAGATTGAAATTGAACGAATGAGCTTCAAATCTAATCAACTTCACAAAACATCAAAGATTGTAAAACTAGATTCAAAGATTTAACATTTATCTTTTGAATATTCCTCTTTGGATGATTTGTTTCTTCAAACATTAACCTACTGTTCTAGAGATTTATGATCAAGTTCTTCAACCTTGATCTTGATTTAGAATTTCTTCATTGGAACTTAATTTCATTCAATGATGATCTCTGAATAAGATTAGTTTCATCAATTAAAGTAAGTAAGTAATCCTCACTTGAACGACCCATTGAAATAACTACAGGAAACCAAATCTGAAAATCTCAACTTGATATGCTCATTCTCTTGGTCAAATCAATCGCCAGGTTTTTTAAATCTCAAGATCACATCATCAACCGATTAATTTTCAAAAAGAAACTTTCGATTTCTCAAATCCAAATCTATGTATTGTTTTTTCAAAAAAAAAAAGAAACAAAAAACACCAGGCATTTGATTCTTTCATTTTCCTTTTTAAGATTCGAATTCAGATTCAAAACCCATGAAACAAAACTCCTTCATACTGTCCAAAAGCATTCTGAAGCTTGAAAAAGAATAGCGAGAGTCAGTTTCGATCCGACGACCTCTGGGTGGCGTTCCAAGGACAATGTGTCAAGGTATGAGCCCAGCGCGCTACCAGCTGCGCCATCTCGCTCCACAAGCTGCTGATGTGTTTTAAATATATATAGAGGGATCCTGTGTGTACTTTCAAGAGCTGTGCAGGTGCTTTTGAATTTACAGAAAGGAAACATCAAGTCAACCGAAAAGAATTGGATAATCAGTGAACGTTTTGAGAATGGATAGGGATCTAAAGTATCAAGTGAAATGATGTATTCTAGTTCCGATGGTTAATTGGTCTTGATCGATGAGTGCTTAGGTTGGTCGTTCTGATTGAAGTGATAGAATGAGAGTTTGAAAGATATAAAGTAAGAATTCTTTGGTTATTGCTAATGAGATTTTGGATAATAAGAAGTTTAAGAATCTGATTTGAGATTGACTGAATGATGATGATGATGATGATATTCGATCGAATCGAATCGAGGTGGTGTTATTGATCAGAGTCTCTGTAAGTCCATAGGTAAGTGGTAGTATGGGTTTAGATGACTTCACCTCATCTGATTGGATTTTTAAATTGAGATTGAAATTAAATTCGAATCAATTCCTTCAAACCGATCATCATCATGAGTTTCATCATCTTATCATCAAATATCATCATCTCTATCATTGCATACATCCTCACCAATCAATTAATCCCATCATTATCTAATACGTTAATCTCAGCTGGTCTGAAAGGTAAAGATTTACTTAAAGCTCATTCAATTGGGGGTGGTGGATTTCCAATCAATCCTTCTTCTCTCATCAAACCTAATCCAATCAATCTTAAATCTACAACAAATCAAATCCATCATTCTTCTGATCAATTCATGTAAGTTTTCTTTCATTGTTTCAATCTCTCCTCAACTTTTTCTCTTTTAATCTTTGACTTATTCTAAGTTTGAATCTTTCTCTTTTTTTCTTTGGTGTTTTTTCTTTTTCTTTGCGATAGGATAGACCCGAATCTACTGGTTTGATTGCTGGAAGTATTTATGTTTTAGTCCTTTCAATCTTCGTTCCATTACCATACTATACCCATTTCTTCTCATCTCCCGATGCACCTGGTTCAACTGCTTTTTCAAACGAATTCGATCATGAACTTAATCCGACAACCGTTCCATTTCCACATTCGAGCCTGAGTGCTAATCTTGCGAGTATCCTATCACTCCTTAGTGCTGTCTTTTTAGGATTCTTAGATGATGTGTTTGATATTCGTTGGAGGTTCAAGTTACCTATCCCTGGTCAGTTCTTCACCCTCTCTGATTCGAAAATTCTTTAGGGGGTATCATGATACTAACCTACACAAATTATCTCTAGTGATCGCATCAGTTCCACTTCTAACAGCTTATGCTGCTGCTGCAGGTGCCACGGATATTATCATTCCGCATATCTTGGGGCTCAGGAACTTGTTGGGAGTTGAGAAGACCAATGGGTTAATCAGTATTGGTAATTCTTCACATCTCTTTATCTATCTCACCTTCTCATGTTGATGTTTCTCTAACACTTGACTGGGATTTGAAATTTGTAGGACCGCTTTACTACCTTTACATGTCTATGTTGTCTACATTCTGTACCAACAGTATCAATATCCTCGCAGGTGTCAATGGGGTGGAAGTGGGACAATCGATCATTATTTGTCTTTCCATCATTTTCAATGATTTACTCTATATCAAACTTGATCTGAGTGATCTTGGGATTCAAAGACAGTTTAGTTTTGGATTATCTCGTGGAAGTCAAGAATTGGAAGATCGACATTTGTTTTCGTTTTGTTTGATGACGCCTTTATTAGGAGTGATGTTAGCATTGATCAAGCATAATTGGTAAGTTGAATTGTCAATTGAATCTTCAAAACTCACAAGCAAGCCAAATCGAATTGAATTTGTTTTCTGATCTTCTATCAATAGGTACCCTGCACGTACCTTTGTGGGTGATACGTTTTGTTATTTTGCAGGCATGGCTTTTGCAGTCGTCGGCATCCTCGGTCATTTTTCGAAAACCGTTTTATTATTCTTCATTCCTCAAATCTTCAATTTCCTTTACTCTTGTCCTCAACTCTTTGGTTTGATTCCGATTCCAAGACATCGGCTTCCAGCACGAGATCCGATGACAGATCGATTGAAACCATCAATGGTTCAGTTTGTTGAACCGTGTAGGAGGATCAAATGGTTTGGATTATGTGAAAGATTGGGTTTAGTACGTTTATTGAGGAACAGAGAAGAAGAAGTGATTGGATGTTCGAATTTAACTTTATTAAACTTATTGTTGATTTGGTTTGGAGAGATGAGAGAAGATCGATTAACGATGCTCATGATGGGATTTCAAGTTTTGGGTACCTTACTTGGATTCGGAATTCGGTATGGGATGTCAGGATTGTTTTATGATTTGTCGATGAGGAGGTAAAGATTGAGATTTGCACGTCTTTCCATCTTGGATCTCAGCATGGGTATTTTGTTTTTTGTGCGATAAGATTGGTTATGAAGTATACCATTGTTTGATTGGGATTCGAATCGAATCCTTGGACTTCTTTGGGTTTGAGACGAGTTGAATTTAGATGTTAAAAATGATGAGTTTGCTAGCTTGGTTTAGATTTTCATATATCTCACTCTGGTCAAAATCGATTGAATGATTAAAATAAATTTCAAAACTCGATTCACTTGTACTTATATTTGATGATCATATTTACTTGATTGGGAAGGACTTTTGAAAATAGATTTGAGTTTTTTTTTTTGCTTCAAATGTTTTGAATTAAAGTATGATTCATTTGTTTAAGAATTGACTAGTTTTCTCGAGGTGGGTTTTAAGACTGTTTTGGGGATGTTGAATTTGATTTATGATGGAAGATGAACCCTTGTCTCCTCGTATACGGCTCTTATGCTGTAAATAAAGAACTGTGGAAGGAAATAACCTGTTATATATTTAATGAATATGCTGACATTTATCAATTCGTGAACTCCTTGCATGGTCAAGTTGATAAGTAGAGCTGATGATTGATCTAGAATTTATTCTATAGATCATGATCCCTTGAAAATTTTAAAAGATCTTTCTTTGACATTTCTATTCAAGTATCATCTTAGTTCTAGAATCGAGAACTTGGCTGACAGGCAAGCGGCAAGACTTCCACCAAATTGTACAAAACTAAACTGATGGATTGATTATCAAGAGTATGAGAGAAAGAATGATGGAAAAGTTTGGTAAAGACGAAGGATGGTGATGAAGTATGTTAAAGCGAAGAGATCTTAAAAGTCATATAAGAAGGATTAAAAAGAGATGATAGATGAAAGTTTTTAAATTCCATCATCATCCTTCTTTTGAAGAATTCTTTGAACTCATCTCATGATCTTTTTAACTGCCATTTCGGCTATTGCATAAACCGTCATGGATGGATGTGCAGCTATTTGAGTTGGAATGATACTTTTTGAAAAAGTTAAAGGGATGATGAAGATTAAAGAAAAAATCAAAATCAAAATCAAAATCATCAATGATTCGAACTTTATGAAGTCTTTTGGAATAAGTTTTAAAAGGATTCAAATCTACCTTGCATCAATTATTCTTAAGTTTTGAGTACCATAAACTTTTAATTGATTATCTACCACTCCACCAAGCTCAAGAGGTAACATAGCTGAAGTTCCAATTGCATGATCTAAGAATAGATAAAGAAAACGAAACGAAAGGAAAGTTAGAATATGATTGAATGGGTTTCAAAAGTTGATGGGGGAGAAAAAAAAAGGAAAGATTGTAAAGTGAAGGGAAGGGAAAAAAAACTGACAAGTGCTTGAAGAATTTAATTTGATATATGAACGCCAATCTTCTTCACTTTTGATCATCTCTCCTGGTGTAAATTCTTTTTCGATGATCGATTTCCATGATGAATGATTCATGATTGATCTGGAATGTTGACTTGCCTTAGAAAGTAACCAAAGATCAAATGGATGTCTAAAATATCCTATAGTTTTATATGAAATGAGTTAGAGAGAGAGAGAGAGAGATCTAAGAGAGGGTAAGTAGGAAGTTTGACATACCTGGATCAATGAGCGGTGGTTTTGCTGGATCACGGCTACTGATGTGGGTCTCTCCTCGTGAAAGGGGATATTGAAGTGTGGATCCTATGGCGATACTGGAGGATTGAAATTGAAGTTAGGTGTCAGGATCTGTTCTTGAATGATTTGACCGACAGTCTTGACATACGTACAGAGAAGCATTTGGAGGATGAGTGGCACCAAGGAAGGACTGTTGAGGTGGAAGAAAACTTGGCGCTCAGTGTTCAACATCTGGAAGATATGACGATTGTTTTCGTACTCACCAAACCTTGGTTTGCGACAATGAATTCTATTGGAGTGCCATGTAATAGCTGTGCCTTGATGGCATTTAAAATTGGTTTGGATAGGTGGGATGAATTGATTTCCAATAATCTCAAACCTTCATCTATCTCTGTCTTGCTCAAGAAAGCACTTAATGGCTCAAAATCTAAGAGAGGGTTGATTGTAGTTAAGACACCATCACGATGTTCATGATAGAGTTTCAATTGTGAAGCCGCATAAGTCGGATCGGTTTGAAGATTATCACCCGAGATGAGGCCTTCTTTAAGTTGATAAGTGTTGAAGATTGCAGCATGATCTGCGAGATTGGATCCTACACCGGGAAGGTTTAGTACGAGTGGAATTCCAAATTGACTCAAGATTGATGGGTTACCCATCCCACTTCGCTCTAAAATGGCAGGTGTACCAAATGAACCAGCACTCAGAATGATCTCTTTACGAGCCATACTTCTTTTCTTAACGCCTCGAGATGTATATTCCACAGCTTGGATGATGACTTCTTCTTTATCGGACTTTGAGGTCAAGAGCCGATCGACTTCAGAATCCAATTGAACGACCAAATTTGGACGAGAAGCAATTGGGAAATCTGTTTAAAACAATAGAGATCAGACAAGCTACTACGCAAATTTAGTAAGATGAGAGTTTTGAATTCACAATAAGCCTTTGCGCTTGTCATCCTTTCTACCTTTTCATCAATGGTTGAAGGAAAGTAATAAGGACCTTGTAATTCTCCTTCAAAACAATC